GGAAGGAAGGAAGGAAGGAAGGAAGGAAGGAAGGAAGGAAGGAAGGAAGGAAGGAAGGAAGGAAGAGAGGAAGAAAAAAAGATGATGTCAGCCCAGCTGCAGCCATCTGAAGTCTTGCCTGGTGCTGAAGGTGTTTCCAAGTTCACTGGTGTGGCCTCAGTTCTCCTTACCATGTGGGCCTCTCCATGACCTACTTGACTCTCTTCAGAACATGGCAGCTGGCTCACCCCAGAGCAAATGATCCAAGAGAACAGATGAGAAGGAAGCCCCTAGGTCTTTTATGATCTAGTCTTAGAAGTCACATACTGCTACTCCTTCTCTATTCTGTTTGTTAGAAACAAGTCTTCAAGCCCAGCTCACACTAAAGGGCAGGGAAATTAGGCTCTACCTTTGGAAGGGATTTTTGGATATATTTCAAGACTAACCCAAGACTACATTTGGGTAAATATCTACCTCCCTTACTAGACCAAGGGTACCTTGAGAACAGGACCCATGTTTCTCTTGTTCACTATTATGTCCCTGGCACCGTCCAGAATGCCTGGCAAAGTACAAGCATTCAGGAAATAGTTAAAAGAATGAATTAAATGATAAAAGAATGAAACTTTGTATTTCAATCCCAGTGCTAGGGAACTCTGGACAAATTCTCTAACATTAGTCACTGGTTTTGGAGAATGGGGTTAATTCTAGCTACCTCTCAATCTGTTACAAGAATTAAACAGTACAGCCCGTATAAAGCACCTAGCATCATCTGGCACAGAAGGGGCTCATTAAATGTTACTTCTCATCTTCTTTGCTTCAATTACGTATGCACTCCACCCCAGGCCACGCACAGATTCTACTCACATCCCTCCATCCCACCTAGTCTGTGACTCCATTTCAATTGCTATGTCTCTCCTTGTTGCTCACTCCTTTCTACTTCCCTTCTGACAATTCCTCATGCCTCTGGTCTCTGTCTCGTGTGATCCATCCCATGCACTGCAACCATATGAGTTATCTTCAAGCCCTCCACGTTTCAAAACGTTTTTGTCCAAACTCCCCCACAACCAGAGCCCAGTGGAACTGCGCAACTTAATTTTCCACTACCCTCCTATATATATATACTCTAGAGGAAGACTACTTACTGCCCCCAAATGTGTGGCTCTCACTCTGTGCTTCCCAAACACTGTCCTGCTCACGCCATTCTTTTCTTCTTTGAGGTCCTACTATAAACTCCATTTATCTTATTGCATTTATGATTATTCACGTGTTCCAGGAACTAGAATGTGTGTACTATTTCTGTTACTAAATTGGAAGCATATCAAAGGCTGGGACTATGTCACTCATTCTTACACCCTCTATTGTTGTTCCTCTGCCCTGCACTAGGAAAGTGTATAATAAACTTTTGTTGGATTGAATTTGAATTCCAGGTGGCTTTATTTCCTTATTTGTACTGACTTAATGATACATTCCAGCCCAGGTACCAGAATGAGATAGAGAAACATGCTCTGCCCATACCGATGATGAGAGATTCTAGCCACATATAACTACATTCTTTTCATGTCTACATAAACTAAATGATCCACAAATAGCAAATCTTTAGTAGAGCAATATAATATGGGTTACATTTTCCTTTAATTCTGGCTCTGATGCAAGTATCTTCACCTTAATATTTATAGGACCTCTGTGCTCATTTGTAATGCTCTGTAGCATTTTCACTATTGCTAGCAGCAAGAATATGATAAATATATTTGAAGATAGAAAATTCTTGAATGATTCTGGGTTACGTCAGTAATACGCAGCGGTAAGTAAGATTGGGGGAAATTTGTCAGACGAATGAATAGACAAGACCGCAATGTAAGAAATTTTGTCTTTAGATTGCTCTGGTAATGCTTCAAAAGCAGATGATGTTTTCATATTTTCAATGAATAAAAGTCTGCTAAACACACACACACACACACACACACACACACACCTAGGGAAATTCTTGCTTTTGAGTCATGAATAGATACCTTTTGGAAACACACAGTAAAATTTCAGGCTGAGACTGACAGAAACATGAAAACTATTTATTCAGTGTCTCCTTACTATATTACCCGTGGTGTTCGAACATTTTGACCCCGCAAAATTATTTTCATTCTGGTAAAGCAGAGGTATTTTGGAACTATATTTCCCTGCCCCTCCCCCACATTATCTATAAGGGGTCATGACTGCTCGAACTCTGTAAATATATGTAACTCTCTTCAGATGGGCAGTGACCAAAAATTAACGCTTGTGTATAAATGTTGGTAACACACTCTTCATCCTCCCAGTCCATTAACGCTGGATTTATAGAAATTTAGTGGACAATCCCTTCTTTATATTAGTATTTATAAGCCTTGGGGTTACTTAAGAAGGTTCTACCAGGATAATAGGGACTTTCATCTTTGGTCAAATGTTAAAGCAGCTTCAGGGCGAATAGGAGCATGTAACATTAAAAACTTTGAGATCTATCTAAAAGCTTTATTTTACAAATAAGGAAACTGAGCGTCAGGAGATGGAAGGACCTCATGGACTCTGCACCTCATGGCAAGAAACTTGTGACCCCACAACGTGCTTCCCCTTGGCATTTGCCCACCTACCCAGTAACTAGTCTGGTCCTGGGTATATCACACTTGTCACCACTGGCACATTGGGCCAGACAATTCTTTGTACTTGGGGTGTTGTCCTGTGCATCTCTGACCTCTAGTCTCTAGATGCTAGTAGCACCTCTTCATCTTCGTCATGACAACAACAACAACAAAATGCCTCTAGACTTTGCCAGCTGTCCCCCCAGGGGGTAAAATCATCTCCTGCCCGTAACAGCTGGTCTATCCTAAGCCATCTTACTGTCATAATCAACTACTCTCTTTTATGTTTTCTGGGAAAATACCTTAAGACATGAATGCATCATATTGAATATTAGAACTCTGCATGATTTCCATGAGAAACCACAGTCTTTCCAAGAAAAGGGCCTTCACTGCTTACTTCACACATTCAGATACAATAAGAACAGAGTCTGATGCAGGGTGGCCAAACCCAACTAATCTTTAGCCTAAGAGAAGCTCAGAAAGGGACAAAACACAGACTGACAGTTTTGATTCATGTTTAATGAAAAAGAAGTTACATGAATAGAAATGAACATAAAACAGATCAGTTTGGGGAAATATGGTGATAGGTGGAACCAGGGAAAAGTCATTTTATTCCTGAATTTATTCATATATTCCTATTCGTTATTACTGATCCAAAATATCTCCTCAAACCCAAAACAAAGTCATAGTTATAGTTTTACTGATGTTTTCATGGGAACTCATGAAAGTCATGTCCAAACAATCCTTTTCCAGGCCCCCCCATGCCCCCAGAACACACACAAGCAAAGGCAGAGATGTTTACTGGCTGGTAACGTGGCATAAAAGAAAAAGCAGCCTTATCAGCTTTTTATTACAAAGCAAGTTAGCACTGGCAGATGTGCTTTTGGCACAAACATGCTTTCTGCTAATATTTTCATGAGAAAGCTTTTATGATACACAACCATTTATTCTTAGTACAATCAATCATTGAGGGATTAAACCTAACTCTGGTGAACATAAATAGGTGTGCAGACGTTGCTGACTTCAGGTTCGAATGCAGTTGAAATAGTCAAGATGTGAAATTTAAAAATACACGGATATGAAACTGCAGTGAGCATCTTACTGGTTTGTTTCGTGGCTCAATTCTGTTCAGGATTCTTAGCCGAGTCAGTCAATATTCTATTTTGTTTGTTTGTTTGTTTCGTTTTCTACCCCAATGTACAGGATGATCACATCTTCTTAAAGAAGAAAAAAAAAATCTTTGGAAATGAATTATTGATCTCTGAAAACATATACTGGCAAGAGGTTTGCTTTGATCATCTTATTTCAAATAAGATATCCCTTCTCTCAAACTCGATCTGGCAAGCGTTAAATTCATAATAGATGTTTGCCACGTGGGTAATAAAGAGGAACAATGAAACTTTACACACCATCCCTTCAAAATAAAAATCTTTTGGCCAGCACACAGCCGTCACCAACCTTCTATGCTCACATTGACTCGCTCAAAGTTAGGACGAGCCCTGTCTCTTCTGATACTGAATTCTAAGTTTTTCCAGCTGCTCGACACATTGGGACTGAGCCAACTTCAACGTCCGGTTCTCCTCCATCAGCTCCTCGAATTCCCGGGCCAGCTGAGCAGCATCCACCTTCTCCCTTTCTGCCTGATCCAGCTTGGCGATGAGCTCCTTTCTGAAGATTCAGTGGGGAGGTGAGGAAAAGAGCACAAAATTTAATGCAAGGAAATTAAAGGAAGCAGTAACAGCATAATGGAAGCAGAATGTTTCCTTCTGCTTTTCTGAACTTCACCATCTCTATTGGCTTCCAATGCCTTACTTTTAGTTTTTCCAGCTTCGCGAGTTTTAGGCACTTTATTATTTTTTTTATTTTATTTTATTATGTTAGTCACCATACATTACATCATTAGTGTTTGATGTAGTGTTCCACGATTCATTGTTTGTGTATAACACCCAGTGTTCCATTCAATATGTGCCCTCTTTAATACCCATCACCAGGCTAACCCATCCCCCACCCCCCTCCCCTCTAGAACCCTCAATTTGTTCCTCAGAGTCCATAGTCTCTCATGGTTCATCTCCCCCTCCGATTTTCCCCCTTCATTTTTCCCTTCCTGCTATCTTCTTCTTCTTTTTTTTTAAATTTATAATGTATTATTTGTTTCAGAGGCACAGGTCTGTGATTCATCAGTCTTACACGATTCACAGCGCTCACCATGACACATACCCTCCCCAACGTCTATCACCCAGCCACCCCATCCCTCCCACCCCCACCACTCCAGCAACCCTTCTAGCACCCCTACCAGACACATCCAAAATACTAAATATAGACCAAAAAAGCTCAATAAGTCCTTCGACAGTCAAAAAAAAAAAGTGATTTTTTTTAAAGAGTACAACAAATTGTAAAAGTTATAATTAGTTTAGGGAAAAAAAAACAGAAAGTCAGTTTATAATTTAAGATGGGATCTACTGTCCTATGGGTAGAACTATAGTTTGTCCTTTACCTTGTCTTTGTCTTCCAAATTCAATTACTGTCTTCCTTTGTTTTCTATTTCAGGGCTTAACGAATCTTTATTAGACTGCTTTGAACTAAAGAATCCAACTCCTTCCTGAAAATATTATTTTCCATGTCCTTCCCTACTGCTTATGTATATCTTGCAGCCCTATTTAACAAAACAATATATCTACATTTCATGCTGGCCGACTCTAGAATTTAGGAGGTAGGCTAAGGTTATTGGAGGGAACTTGTAGTGATAAGGTCTTAAACAAATTCAGTTCTCGGTAATTACATGTAAATAATTCATTGATATAAATACACATAATCAGGAGCTGAAGATTCCCAGTCCATGTTTAGATTTACTAAACATGACAATCCAAAACAGATCCGCTCCCCTTATGTGAGTCAGTTAATCCTAAACTAGATCTAACCAAATTCTTTGCCTATAAGCGTGTGTCAGATTTCTTTCTCTGTAGGCAAAAGCATGAGAAACTTGGAAGACCACTTTAACCAAGTGATCAGCCTTGACATCACCAGTAAGGAGATGAATAGATATGGCTGGCACCAAGGACACATCCTTTTTCTGGTATTCCTTGCCAAAAATGCATACACTAGACAACCTCAAATTGAGGGAAATTCTACAAAATTGCTAGCCTGTACTCTTCAAATTGCTAGCCTGAACTGTTCCATATTTAAGGAAACTAAAGAAAAATGACAACTAAGTTCAATGCGCAATTCCGGACTGGAAAAAAATTGCTGTGAAGGACATTGTTTAGAAATTGATGCAATTTAAATGTGGATTGTGAAATAATAGTACTGCATCAATGCTAAAATTCTTTTTTTTTTTGATGTAGTGTTCCATGACTCATTGTTTGCATATAACACCCAGTGCTCCATTCAGTACATGTAAAATTCTTAATTTGTAATTATTGTACTGTGGTTAAATAAGAGAATGTGCTTGTTCTTAGAATACTGAAGTATTTAGAGCAATGGGGCATGACTACATAGATAGATAGATGGATAGATGGATAGATAGATAGATAGATAGATAGATAGATAGATAGATAGATAGAAGATGGATAGATAGATGATAGATAGATAGATAGATAGATAGATAGATAGATAGATAGATGATAGATGGATAGATAGATGATAGATAATAGATGGATAGATAGATAGATAGATAGATAGATAGATAGATAGATAGATAATGATAGATAGATGGATGGATAGATGGATAGATAGATAGATGATAGAGAGATAGATGATAGATAGATAGATAGATGGATAGATGGATGGATAGATAGATAGATGGATAGATATAGATAGATAGATAGCTGGATAGATAGATAGATGATAGATAGATAGACGGATAGCTGGATAGATAGATAGCTGGATAGATAGATAGATAGACGGATAGATAGATAGATGGATAGATGGATAGATAGATGATAGATAGGTAGATGGATAGATAGATAGATGGATGGATAGATAGATAGATGGATGGATGGATGGATGGATGGATGGTTGGATAGATAGATGATAGATGGATGGATAGATAGATAAATAGATAGATGGATGGGTAGATAGATGATAGATGGATAGATAGATAGATGGATAGATGGATGGATAGATAGATAGATAGATAATAGATGGATAGATAGATGATAGATAGATAGATAGATAGATAGATAGATAGATAGATGATAGATGGATAGATAGATGATAGATAGATAATAGATGGATAGATAGATAGATAGATAGATAGATAGATAGATAGATAGATAATGATAGATGGATGGATAGATGGATAGATAGATAGATAGATGGATAGATGGATGGATAGATAGATAGATGGATAGATATAGATAGATAGCTGGATAGATAGATAGATGATAGATAGATAGACGGATAGCTGGATAGATAGATAGCTGGATAGATAGATAGATAGATGGATAGATAGATAGATGGATAGATGGATAGATAGATGATAGATAGATAGATGGATAGATAGATGGATGGATAGATAGATAGATGGATAGATGGATGTATGGATGGATGGATGGTTGGATAGATAGATGATAGATGGATGGATAGATAGATAAATAGATGGATGGGTAGATAGATGATAGATGGATAGATAGATAGATGGATTGATGGATGGATAGATAGACAGATAGATAGATAGATAGATAGATAGATAGATAGATAGATAGATAGGTAGATAGGAGGGAGAGAGAGAGAGAACCTCAGTAGTGTGCAGTGTTGATGGAGGGAGAATAAAGCACAACTGGGAAAGCTTTGAATAATTAGTGAATCCAGCAAAGGATATATGGGAGTTATTTATACGATTTTTGCAACTTTTCTGTAAGTTTGAAACTATCAAAATAAAAAGTTACCCCAGGAAAAGGACAAAACACAAATCAGAACTGAAGTTCTAGTGTATTCTTCCTTCACCCAATGGACTGCTTTGTGCACCTACTTTGAGGACCACTGAGCAAAACCAAGCATTGGAAAGAAAGTGGACAAAGAGAAGATAAGCTGGAATACTGCTATACATATACACAAGGTTCCTTTGGGCTCTTATTGATCTTTGAATTTTCCATGGTATTTAGAATATAAAGGCTCTCAATAAATATTTGCTGAATGAATAATTAAAGAGTAAGATACCTCAGAGACAAAACACATGTATTTTAAAGATGAGGAAATGGAAATGCAAAGTGCTTAACTTAATTGAAAAAGCCACCCAACTAATAAGAAAGAGCCAGAAATCAAGCCTATCTTTCTGATTAAATGTTTATGGCTCTTTGCCTCTAAACAGTAAAGGTCAATAATTAAGTATTAGTAAAGTTCCTTATGTAACTTTCCTAAAGAAATTGATTAGTAAAACTGAAAATTCAAATAAACTGTGTCACACAAATAATTCACATGGAAATAGAGCTTTGCTTTCAAAGCATGGTCTGGAAATTGGCAGTACCAGGTATAACAATAGGTATTGTCCTTGTTCCATAACTGACCCCTCTTAAAACTCCTCAGGACATCTGTTATTGGTTTTGACTGGTAAGAAAAGATAAATCACAAAATCACAGATTTTACAGCTAAAAGAAATGATCATGATGGTCTAGTTCAGTTTTCTTGTGTTGGAGAAAGTCAATAATAACTTCTTCCTTCCTGGAATCAAGAGGACTCAAATGATAGGTTTCTAAATTAGTTTGATGTATCTGATAAGCAATTATACACATATTCAATGAATACTGTCAAAATGTGTGTTGTCTTCTGTCCAAGACCTATTTATATAGATGTGTTTATGTTCATCCATTAGCAATTCATAATTAAACCTGGCACATCAAGCTATGGAGACAATTTTATAAATAGATGATCTGAGGAACAAATCAATATCTATAATTGGCTAACATGTGGTCCTACCTTTGAATTTGTGTTTATTATTTCTAGCATTCCCTTCAGTGTAATGTGATAAGGGGGTAGAAGACCATCATTACAGGAATCCTATTTCTGAAATCAAGAACCTATAACATAGTTTCCAATACGATGTATTTCAACAGGGAAAAGGCTGTGACCTTGGGCCCATCATAGATCATCTGCCATCCCCATCCTAAGCCATATGCCTGGATAAGTTTTTATTTGCTACAACAAATGGGGGAAGGGAAAGTGCAAGTGAAGAAAACTTTGAAACTTTGTGGAAACTAATTCCAAAATTAAGGAGATTCTTTATGTTGCAGGAGGTTGGGACATGAATTCATCATTAGAACGAATACTTCTGTTTCTGGAAAGACCGCTACCATTATTCTTAGGACTTTCAAAGTTGACTTAAGGCTTTTATTTGGAAAAGACAAAAATCCTAGATGTTTTGGCCATAATGAACTAAAGGGTTTTGGATAATAATGTGATAAAATACAATCTTCATCATGGGGAGAAGTTTATTCTTCTTTTTTTAAAGATTTTATTTATTTATTCATGAGAGACAGAGAGAGAGAGAGAGAGAGAGAGAGAGGCAGAGGGAGAAGCAGGCTCCCAAGGAGTAGGGAGCCCGATGCGATACTCGATCCCAGGACCCTGGGATCATGACCTGAGCCAAAGGCACACGCTTAACCATCTGAGCCACCCACGCGTCCAGAAGTTTATTCTAAATAGTGATTTAGACTGTACTATCGGTGGTTCTT